AGCAGATCTGAGATACATATTAAGGCGGTACAGTGGCTGAAATCTTTGGAGCTATTCACAGATTACACTGTGGATGACATGTTGAGGAAGTGGGGTGAAATTGCAAATTGCACACAGACCAAGTCAGTAATGAGTGTGGCTTGGACCCCTCCACCTGGTGGATTCTTGAAATTAAACTTTGATGTGTGTAGTAGGGGAAATTCGGGACAATTGGGGATTGGGGGTGTTTTTAGGGATGAAAATGGGGTCATTTCTGCCATTTTCTCAGGCCCAATTGGAGTGGGTGACTCCCTTAGAGCTGAGATCTTTGCAGTTATGGAAGGAGTCCGGAAAGCTAAGGAGTTGAACATCAGGAAACTCATAATTGAAGGGGATTCAGAGGTGGTGATAGGGTGGCTGATTAAAGATCACAATGGCTTATGGAAGTACAGCAATGAGAGGAGGAAATTCAAGTGGCTGGTGCGGGAGATGGAAGTTAAGAYATGTTGGGTTAAAAGATCGGCCAATTCCCTAGCTGACAGTTTAGCTAAACAAGGGGCAGAAAGGGATTCATTATTTTGGGCTAAGCTGTAACTTTAGTGTGTGTTTTTTTTTTTTTTTTTCCTTTTCTTGAGGTTCTTTGTTGCTCTTGGAAGATAAGTGTGTTTGTCTTCTTCTTGTAAATCTTCTATTGATGTTTTAATGAAAGTGTTATTGATAAAAAAAAAAGTTGTAAGTGGAGAAAATTGTTGTGGGCCTAAAAGAGTTGCTTAATATGAAAGAAATTATATGCATTAAGAGAGTGATTTAATGTAGTTTTACATTGAAAGAGAGAATGTGAAGTTAGAAGTAGGTAGGTTGGTTGGTTGTTGTTGTTGTTTTGTGCTTGAATGTCTATTATAGGAGGCAGTTCTCCCCATCTTTGTAACTCTAACCAAGATAAGGGATCCACTCTTTCACTTTTTCCTTTTATTTGCAATTAACCGAACTGTGTATTCTCTCCTCTATATCTCAGTGCTATTCAAAATAACAAGGGCTTAATCCTGTCATATGCTTGTTTTCTTCTATCCTTTAACACATATCACACATTCTCTTTGTAACTTTTCCTGCACTGATAAAATGGAGATTCATTCCCTAATTTTTCATATTCTACAATCTTCCCCTAATTCTACTTTTAAATTTTGTTCTTTTATGTGAAATCACTTTTAGTGTTTTCTAGTTGCTATTACCAACTAGGGAGCAAGCCAATTCATAGCATAATAGGGAAACAAGCTAAAATCACCTAAATTTTTTAAACAAGAAAATCTTTGTCTCTAGGCAATGTCCCTAGGCAACATGGCTTGTGTTTCCTTGGAGAAAACAAGGCTTGCATGCTGCTTCTTGCAATTGGGCAGATTTTGACCATCGTAAGATCATAAGGATGACCATTTTGTCCCTTAAGCCTTTCTGGTTGGCATCATTTTCATGTCCCATGCAGCCATTCAAAGGGTTTCAAAATATGAATTTTTTTAGTGGTGCTGGAGAGTGCCATTAATCCGGAGAAGAGAAAGTGGAACAATTCTGACAGTCAAGTTGGAAATTGGAATGATGGAGCAGTGCTTGTGGTGGAACTTGGAAGGGAATGTAGGTGATGGTTTGGATGTCAAATCAGCTAAGAGAACAAGATAGGAGAAAATATGCTAATCTACAGGAGTGTTTGTTTTATCTTTTGATCACCAGAAAAGATGGATATGAGAGGATTAGAGGGTATGCTTATGTGCCACAGGGGAGGGGCTTTATTGAAAAAAAAAAAAGAAAAAGGCAAGATGCCAAGTGCCAACCAGCTGATTGGTAAGGTCTCCTGCTGGTCATAGTGGAGACTTGGGATCGAATTCCGCCTGCACCTGAGTTGGGGGGTTATGATTGGTGGATGGGTTACCCCCCGTTGTGTAGCCCTTCAAAAGAAAAAAAAAAAATGAAAAAGCAAAAAGTATAGGGAGCAGGAGGCTGGTGAAATCTCTTTATATGAGTAAAAAATAATTCCTAGATGTTTTCTTGGTAATTCAGAATCCATTCTGATCTAGTGCTGCCGCCGTGGAGATTAAAGAACATGATCAAGGATTGTCTTYGCATTGGGGGTCTCTTGGATTGCGGAATCTGCTATTGTCATGTATATCGTGAAGCTAATCAAGTTGCTGATTGGTTAATGCACATATCTGATGATGTAATTGGCTTTTCTTCTTTAGATTTGCCCAGGGCTCTTTCTGTTATTTCCCTTTTTGATTCTTGGGTCATGCTACGCCTCGTCTTGTGTAGCACTCTTTGGATTTACCAAAAAAAAGATAAAAAAAAAGAATCCATTCTGATCTAATAACCTGTCTATGTTGGAAATATGAATAACAATATTAAAGCTTTCAGAGTTGAGTGAAAGGGAGTTCTATTTTATAACTATTGCAGTAATTACCTAGTTTTGTATAATCCTAAGAAGAAAATAAAAAATTATGTTTTCTCCATTATCATGGAAAATTTTCAAATTAGAAAATTTGTTTTGGAAATTTTACTTTGGAGGACAAAATACAGGGTGAGAACAGTGATTTAAAAGGCATGCCTAGGCACACAGGTGAGGTGCATTTTAGGGTAGGCACCTTGCCCAGGTCCTAGGTGCAGCACTTTCAAAAGGCATATGCCTGGTGCGCTTAGGCATGTGCTTGATGTGCCTTGGCCCAGGCATGCGCCTTTTGAAAATTGTACATTTTTTTTTGCTTTTTTTGAACCTAGCGGCTGGGCTGGGGGCTCTGCTCCGGTTTGCTCACTTTGCTCGCTCACTGAAGCTCCAGGAACCCATTATTTGCTAATGTTATTCATTCATTAATCTCAGTAAAATATCTTCTTAAAAGGCAATTAAAATTATAAAATCATAATTTTTTTGTGTGAGAATTAAGAATTTAAAACACTGGGTGAGAAGTTTAGAAAGGCCAATATAATCAGTAGATTTCATTTTTTACTGTGGTTATGTATGTGTGCACCAAGTGGTAAGAAATAATCTAAGGCTTACAATTTGATGGAAAACATGTCTCTAGATAGAGCATAATGGTGGGATAGGATACATGTAGCCAACCACAAATGGTTGGGACTAAGGTTGAGTTGAATTGTGTATATGCATGACCTTGTACGAGAGGCTTATGGACTGCAATTTTATTGGTTTTGTCATCCCTTTCTGAAGTTATCCCGTTTTATATCATGGTTTGATCCAGTATGACTTGGTGGATTGAAAATTTAGAATCTTTACATATGTTATAAATGTTGATATTTGTTATATTTACTACCTGCCACTTTGTTTATAACTAACTATTTTACCGCTTATATTTCGCGTGCCTTTTTTATAGGACCACAATTGCACAGTTCAGATTTTCTCCAAGGAAATAAATCTTCGAGAAAATGTAGATTGATATGAAATTCAAGAATCTAGACCAAATCAGATGTCTGGTATTGATTTTGGTATGAATTTTCCTACCATGGATCTTGCCTTCACTGAACAAGGTGCAATTTTTGAACCTTATAAGGGAATGGAGTTTGATTCACATGAGGAAGCATATTCTTTCTATGAAGAATATGCTAATTGTTTAGGATTTACCACCATGAAAAAGAATACCAGTCGCTCAAAACGGACTGGGTTATTCATTGATGCATATTTTGCATGCTATAGATATGGAAACAAGCAACCAAAACATGAAGTCCTTAAACCACGCCCTTCTCATAGGACAGATTGCAAAGCAAGCATGCATGTAAAAAGAAGGCAGGATGGAAAATGGTTTGTACATAATTTTGTAAAAGAGCATAACCATGTGCTTTTGCCAGCTCAAGCATATCATTTTCGAAGTCGGACACGCATGGATGCCATTAGCAAGAAACATTTGGAGTTTTTGCATGCTGGCCCAGTACAAACAAATAAGACTTCTGGTTTAATATCCAGTCAATGTGGTGGAGATCAAAGCATTGTTTGGATGGAGAAATTTGTCAGAGATCAAATGGATAAAAAAACATGCTTGGCTATAAAATCGGAGGATACACAAGCTCTGCTTGATTATTTTATACATATGCAAGAAGAGAATACTAACTTTTTTTATGTGGTTGATTTGAATGATGAGCAACGTTTGAAAAATGTGTTCTGGGTCGATGCCAAAGGAAGGCATGATTATTTCAACTTTGGTGATGTCATTTCTATTGATACTACGTTTCTCGCAAAGGGATATAACTTGCCATTTGCTCCTTTTATTGGAGTGAACCATCAATGTGATCCCATATTGCTAGGATGTGCTCTACTTGCTGATACGACTACATCAACATTTGTTTGGTTAATGCGGATGTGGCTTAGAGCAATGGGTGGGGTGACTCCAAAAATAATAGTTACTGATCGAGATAATGTCTTGAATGCTGCAGTTGCAGAGGTCTTCCCAAATGTTTGCCATCGATTTTGTCTAGGGAATGTGTTAAAGGACATATCTGAGAATCTTGACCATATAACCAAAAGAAGTGAAAATTTCATGGAAGAATTTAAGAAATGCATTTATAACTCGTGGACAGAGGAAGAATTTGAAACTCAATGGTGGAAAATGATTCATGCATTTGAACTTGTGGAGGATGATTGGGTGAAGTCACTGTATGAAGATCGTAAACACTGGGTGCCAGTTTCTATGAAGAATACTTCTTATGTTGGGCTGTCTACTGCTCAACGTCTTGAGAGTATTAACTCCTTCTTTGACAATTATGTGCACAAGGAAACTACATTGAAAGAGATACTTGTGCAATTTAAAGTTGTACATCTACAAGATAGGCATGGCGAAGAATCTAGAGAAAATCCTGATACATGGGTTCCAATGCCCCCTTTAAAGTCTCATTCACCTTATGAAAAGCAGATGTATACAATCTACACTTGTGAAATATTCAAGAAGTTCCAAGTTGAGGTTCTAGGAACAGTTGCTTGTCATCCTAGAAAAGAAAAACAAGATGGGTCCAATATAATATTTAGGGTTCACGACTTTGAATCACAAGAAGAATTCACAGTTGCATGGGATGAAACAAAAGCTGAGGTATCTTGTCAATGTTGTTTGTTTGAACATAAAGGATTTCTTTGTAGGCATGCAATGGTTGTTCTCCAATGTTCAGCAGTGAATGAAATCCCATCTAAGTATATACTGAAACAATGGACAGATGATGCAGAAAGAAGGCACACCATTGGACATAGATCTGATGAAGTGGGATCTAGGGCAGAACGCTGTAATGATTTATGCCATCGGGCCCTTAAATTGGGCATTGAGGCCTCAATATCTGAAGAGAGCTACAGTATTGCAGTTCATGCAATACAAGAAGCTATTGGAAAATGTGCAATAACGAATAATTCTATAAAGTAATTTACAAAGCCCAGCACATCAGTAATTCATGGTTATTTTGGCGGTCAATGGACTGTGGAAAAAACAGTTTGTCTTACTAAACTATCATTGTCAGGTTGCAAAAGTTGCTTCATTTTCCTGAATGATGAATTAAGTTGTTAGTCAACTATAATATAATCTATTATATTATAGCTATGTTTCCACACATGCAGGGGCATTGTAATTCTTTAATGCCTACTAGTGATGCTTAAGTTGATACACAGAAAATGTGAAGGCTGTCAGGACATGTTATGATATGACCAAGATATAATTACAAAGAAATTCTGTTGTTTATTTTTGTGAATTATGATTTACATGATTTTAATGCTTATTTTGGGGATTATACTAGTTGTAGGGATTTTTTGAGAAGAGGTAAAGTATTGATTCATTAAGAAAAAGAGAAGTAAAAAAGACCCATGTACAACCAGAGGCTATACATTGGGGAATACAAGCAAACATTAGACCACTATCCCATTTGTCATTACAAAAAGGTTTTCAAAATGAAAGAGAGAACTAAGGGGAACACTATTCTTGATAGATGCGCAGATGACCAGGATAGCAGTTTCCCAACTATTTTTTGCCACACTTCCTCTTCTTGACAGCCTTTACTTTGAAAGAGTCTTGAGTTTCTTTCCTACCAAATTGACCAGAAAACTGCTCTTGGGACCATTTGCCATAGAGTTTTCCCACTCAGACCATGTGCCCACCATCCTTTTACAAAAGATTCCACTAATGCAGGGCAGCAACTTTTAATGGCGAAAATTCTAAAGATTTTCACCCATATGTTGTATGTAAAACTGTAATGCAGCAACAGGTGGTCAACCGACTCTTCTACTCCATTACATAACACACAAATAGGTGAGTCAATCTGTTAGAGGCACAAGGGGGCAGGAACTACAAGTATATTCTAGAAGGAGAAGAAGGCCACCTCAGCATAAGGAAGCCAGTGCAAAGGCAGCTGGAATTAACTGAATCAACTTGGAGTTAACTAAATCAAACAAGTTGGCAAGTTGTTACAATTCTGTTGTAAATCGGTTAAGGCCACCTCAGCATAAGGAAGCCAGTGCAAAGACAGCTGGAGTTAACAAAATCAAACAAGTTGGCAAGTTGTTATAATTATGTTGTAAATCAGTTACATTGAAGGCAAGATTGAATATAAATACAGAGGTGTACTTACAATAAGGGAATAATAAGAACATTTGATCTCTTTTTCTCTTCACTCTCACTTTCCCCTATTCTGGAGGTTATCCTCCCTCAAAGAGGATCTGAGTTGGGCAGCTACCCAACAATTGGTATCAGAGCCTGCAACTAGCAACACCATGCCGAGTACAAGGTCAGAAACAGTGGATGATCGGATGAATCGCATGGAGATCCATCTGCACAAGACCACAGGAGACTTACAAGAAATCAAGCAAACACTAGCCCTGTTGATGACGTAGATGGAGAAAAGTTTGACGGAAGGAAACCACGATGGCAACCAAGAAGGAAACAACAGAAATCAAGGGGGCGGTCAGCATGGTTGGGCCTCAACTCATTCAGCAAAACTGGATTTCCCAAAATATTCAAGGGAGGATCCCATACCCTGGATCTTTAGGGCAGAAAGATATTTTGAATACCATGATACACCTAGCCATCAAAGAGTTCTTGTCGCTTCATTCAACCTGGAAGGAGAAGCGATCTTGTGGTTCCAATGGTTCCGGCGAGCCCACCCACAAGTCGAGTTCGAAAACTATGATGAGAATCTCTCAAAACTCAAATAAACTGGATCTGTGAGGGATTACCAAGTCGAGTTTGAAAGACTGTCAACAAAGGTTCATGGGTGGCCTGAAACTGCATTACTTGGCTGCTTCATCGGCGGCCTAAAGGAAGAAATAAGAATAGAAGTGAAGTCCCTCCAACCCACCTCCCTATCAGCGGCAATGGGTTTGGAAAGATTGCAAGAAGAAAGGTTCAATCGACTGAAAAGATTGGGTCGACTGAACACATTCAACTCTGGACCACAGTCTTGGAACCGACAACTAAACCAACTAGGTAATCCTTCTATCCTGAGATCCAGCCCAACAATCACAAGAAATCAGACCCATGGGCAGGATGAAAATCTTCAACCTAAGGCCCAAGCCATTGTACCTGCCCCAGTGCCATTAAGAAGATTATCTTGGGCAGAGATGCAAGCCCGAAGAGATTGTGGTCTTTGTTATAACTGCGACAATAAGTTTGGCCCAGGCCATAAATGTAAGAATCCCCAACTATTCTTACTATAGACAGATGAAGCTGAACCTCAGGAGGAAATCCCTTACACACCCATTGCGATACCTACTGAGTTAGAATCTGAGGATGGGCCAGACCCACCCGAGATATCCTTTCATGCATTAACAGGACTGACCTCCACCCAGACAATGAGAGTGGTTGGGTCAATACAGGGCCGAGCAATTTCAGTTCTAATTGACTGTGGGTCATCTCAACTTTGCGACCCAAATGGTAGCCAAACAATTGGGCCTAATACAAGAACAGGTGTTGCCATTCAATGTACATGTAGCAGATGCCAACAACATCAGTTGTGATAGCATATGCAGAGGGGTCCACCTGAAGTTACAACAACATTCATTTCTAGTGGACCTCCATCCATTAGAGATGAGCGGAGCTGATGTGGTATTAGGTGTGCAATGGCTACAACAGTTGGGACCGATTGTATGTGATTGGTCAAAACTAACAATGGATTTCTCCATTAATGGACAGAAGTATCATCTGAACTGGGTGGCTAAGAGTGCACCACAACAAGAAGGACTAAGAGCCATCCTCAAGACTAGTTGTAGTGAAGGGCAAACCCTCCTATTGCATATGGGATTGAATACCAGCCCAGTTTTTATCAGTCCAAATGAAGCAGCCACGTCACTGGAAAATCAGCAAGCATTCCAGCGGTTACTCAACACCTATTCGTATGTCTTTCAAGAACCCAATCAGCCACCTCTTTCCAGACCCATGGACCATAGAATTGAGATCATCCCAGGGGCAACTCTATCAATTGTTAGACCTTATCGCTACCACAAATTTCAGAGGGAAGAGATGGAGAAAATTGTTCAAGAATTACTAGAGAAAAAATTCATTCAGCCCAGTTCAAGTCCATATTCAGCACCCGTCCTTCTAGTCAAGAAAAAAGATGGAACATGGAGGTTTTGTGTAGACTATCGGCTCTAAATCAGATCACAGTAAAGGACCGGTTCCCCATTCCAATCATTGACGAGCTATTGGATGATTTACATGTTGTTACCATATTTTCTAAGCTTTATCTATGAGTCGGCTACCATCAAATTCGGATGCATACAGCAGATGTACCCAAAACGGTCTTCCGTACACATGATGGTCACTATGAGTTTCTTGTCATGCCTTTTGGATTGACAAATGCACCAGCAACCTTTCAAGCCATCATGGATGAGGTATTCCGTCCCCACTTGCACCGCTTTATTCTAGTCTTCTTTGATGATATCTTGGTATATAGTGTTGATTGGGCTTCTCATCTACAACATTCAACCATCACTTTGGAACTATATGCAAAGGCTTCTAAATGTGTTTTTGGACAAAAACAAGTCCAATACCTAGGCCATGTGGTCAAAGAAGGGAAGGTTATGGCTGATCTGGAGAAAGTTGCTTGCATTCAACAATGGACAACACCTACATCAGTCAAAGCCTTGCGGGCTTTTCTAGGCCTCACAGGCTACTACAGGYGCTTTATACCACATTATGCAAGGCTAATAGCACCACTCACCCAATTATTAAGGAAAAATGCATTTCAATGGAGTGAGCAAGCCCAACAAGCCTTCACTAATCTAAAGCAAGCAATTTCCACACCACCAATCCTGTCATTACCCGACTTCTCAAAGCAGTTCACACTTGAGTGTGACGCTTCGGGGACAGGTCTAGGAGCTGTTTTAATGCAAGAGGGGAAACCATTGGCCTATTTCAGCAAAGTACTCTCACCACAAAATCAAGCTAAATCAACATATGAGAAGGAGCTCATGGCCGTTGTACTTGTAGTCTAAAAGTGGCGTTCTTACCTACTGGGCTGCCGATTTTTCATAAAGATAGACCACAAGAGCTTGAAATTCCTGCTTGATTAGAAATTCCACACACCTGAACAGCAGCAGTGGGCCCACAAACTCATGGGCTATGACTACATTATATAATATAAACTGGTACAACTAATCAAGCAGTTGATGCTCTATCCAGGCTACTTGAGTTGGCACAATTCACTGTCTCTAGGCCCAGTTATCCATTACTCGAGCAGCTCAAAGCTGAAGCCTTTCAAGATACAGAACTAGCCCAATTAAGGGCCAAATGGGCCCAAAATGCAGCCTTGACCCCTGGTTATTCAGTTTGTGACAACACTCTATTACAAGGGTCGATTGGTTATCTCATCCAAGTCAGCCCACATAGTAGAATTACTATGACTCTTTCATGATTCAGCTATAGGTGGTCATTCAGGCATATTCAAAACCTACAAGCGTCTGACAACACATTATTATTGGAGTGGCATGATGAAAACAGCAAGGAGTTACTTCACCTCTTGTGATGTCTGCCAAAGACAAAAGTATGAAGCCCAACAACCAGCAGGCCTCTTATAACCCTTGAGCATCCCAGATCAAGTATGAGACGAAATCTCAATGGATTTTATTGTGGGCCTACCTGTTTCAAAAGGCAAATCAATCCCACTTTATACCTCTAACACACCCTTACACTACGACTACGATGGCAAAAGCATTTGTTAGAGAAATCACTAGATTACATGGGACACCAAAGGCAATCATCTCTGATAGAGACCCAACCTTCCTTAGCAGCTTTTTCTTTTTTGGAGTAGATCACCACTGAGGTGACAAACAAGTATTGGGTCTCTTCTTTTGGAGTAGATCACCAGTGTTGATTCTTTCCAGATAGGCTTCCCAACAAAAACTACCGACCCTTGGAGGTATTGCTTTGCACCAAACCTCATCAACAGGAAAAGGAGGGAAGGTAGGACTGGTGGACTGACTTAAGACTTTGAAGAAAGAAGCACAAGAAAAAAYGCCGTTGGGAGGTGTCCAAATTCTAGAATCCGCCCTAGTGGGGTCTAAGACAACGTTATCAAGAATTGCAATAAGGCTCAAAATAATGTTAAAGTCTGAGTCCCTCAAATCACTTCTTAGACCCAAGTTCCACCCATTCCCAGAAGTGGAAGAGGACGGGGTGGTAAACGACGAGATTGGCTCATTTTTCAGATCAGAAAGAGCAAACAAAGAAGGAAATTGATCCTTTAGAGGGG